TCTAACAGTGGGGATATGGCAGCGTAGAGGCGAGGCGGGAGGACGATGTCGACGGTGGGGAGCTTGGAATTGCAAGGCTTAGGCCGTCCCGGGCCGCTTACGCGGAACACGCGGCTGAAGCCGCGGCGCCGGCATTACGTCGCGCACCGTCGACCGCGACTGACGTTGTTGTAATCGTGTCTCATTCCCAACACACACTCCACTCCAACGCGCTGTGTTTACTCGAATTTATAAACGAAGCTAACCGACGATCGTGTCTGCGACGCGATATCGAATATCCGTCGCAAAAAGTGAAAGTTCTTTTTTCCAGTCGTTGCACCAACCGTTATTACTGAAACGAAAACATCGGCGAAACTGTCGTAATCTGTCGTAACCTGTCGGAGCTTCGAATCCGGTTAGAAACGTGTTGCGTCATTGACGAGTGATTATGTAGATCGATAATGAATCTTCGATAGATCGTGCATCGATTGAAGGAGTGACACCTCGCGGACTAACAGTGCATTAGCAGGGGAGAAACAGTTTTTTATTGGAGGTGTTACGTCGTTATTCGATAGTATTGTTATGGCCCATGGCGTTGGCGGGAAACGAACGAGCTAGGAGCTGCCATCATGGAACTTGGGGAAGTTTCAAGAACGCCAAGGATAGTTCGTATGTGTTGTGAGATACGATGAACCTGTTGGTAAGTATCCTGGATTGCCGTCGCGTGGACCAGAAGCGGAAAAGCAGCTGCTGGAGGAGAAGTTACTGGTAGCAGCCAGGAAAAGAAGGCAGCGGGTTCCGGTGGTGTGCATAGATCGAGGAGGCAAGTGAAATCACGACGTCTTGCTCGGAGGGTGCGTGTTTGGGCGACGAGGGGCGGCTACTGGCCGATGGGATGCATCTACCGGTGGGTTCCGTGGGCTGCGGGGAAAATTACGCCACCGTTGGATCCCACGAAGGCGCCGGCCCGTGCGGCCCCTCACTGGCGCCTCTCCAGGGGGTGAACATCAGGTACCAGCAGGCCGACGACGCCGACGCCGGGGGTGGAGGTGGCGAGATGAGCGAGGGTGCCGCCGTCGGCGAGCTGTGGTGGACCGAGAGACTCGTCGGCGAGGCACAAGCTGAACACCCTGGTGAATTAGTACGAACAGGTTTGTACTCTTTATGTTCAGGCTGTTAAATCTCTAATTATTCACGAAAGATTTTTAAATTGTATTTTTAGCAATTTAAATCATTATGTTGATGAATGTGGAAAATATATGTATTGATAGTACAACTTCCTTTTATTTGTATCATTAAAATGACTAGAGTAGTTGAAACGAGCAATTTATAATTGTTCGGCGTAGATATTGATAACTAATAAATTCATAATGGTGATATTTTGTAAATTCATTTAAATAATTTATTTGTAAAATATATGGATAAAAGTTTCTCCTCTTGTATTGCACAATTTTTGATTTTTTTAATGTAGGTTTCGCATTTTATTCACCGGAAGTTCTAATCTTAATATGGCTTCCAAAAGGCGATCGTTGATTGGTCAGAATGTTTAACGTGTGTTTCAATCCGTTTAAACGGACGGGAAAGCAGTGCGATTCATGAAAATTTGATTGTGAAACGGTTAATCATTATTACAAAATTTTCTGTATGCAGTTGGTGAAATACAAAGAAGAAAAACTATAATATTATTAGATGGATTTATAGTAAAGGAAGCAAGTAATGTATATCATATTTTATGAAAAGGTAGAAAAGAATAATCACGTTGTTTAAATTTTCAGTATCAATCTTCCAACGTTCGTTATATTTCGTGAGAAATAAGTGATATTTGTATTTGTATACGAGAATAGAATCAGATGAATTAACTATAAGAACTTGCAAATTTTTATTATTAATATAATTATATTATCAGTAATTATAAAATATAATTTTTTTTCAAATTAACATTTGAAAAAAAATACGTAAATTGATACTTGTGATAAAAATCAAATTGCATCTCAGAAATAATTCTATCTTTTCTGTGTTTCTACAGCAAAAACGCTGATTGCTTCTGTAATACCTTCCAGGATCACCGTATTTTCTCTGCAGTCAACTGCCAACTCACTGGCGTTCCAACAAGACGCTTCCGGTGGCGTTCAAAGTTGTTGCTCTGGGCGAAGTCGTCGATGGAACTCTGGTGACAGTACGAGCGGGTAACGACGAGAACTGTTGCGCTGAACTAAGGAATTCCACTACGTTAATGAAGAACCAAGTCGCCAAGTTCAACGACCTAAGGTTCGTTGGGAGAAGTGGCAGGGGTGAGTATGTTAAACAATTGTTTCCTTAACTTTTCTTTCTTTCTTTCAAGTGTTTATTTCATTAAGTTCTTATTGCTGAATTAAAGTTCATAGTAATATAAGATATAAACTTTTGAAACTAATATCTTACATCAAAATCATAATCACTTATAAATGCAAACTTCTTTTAAGATTCTACATTTAAAAAAAAAGCATGTCAGCTAATGGTTCGATCAAAGATACAGATAAACGATCAAAGCACGAGGCAACTGATTAAACGAGCCAATACAGAGAGTTAGTTTTGAGGTTTCGAATGTCATCGTCAGTGGCAGTTTGCTTTGTAAGTCGTTGAAAAAGCAGCCAGTAAATTATCTACACGAGAGAGGCGCGTACCGTGATTTCGAACCCCCTAAAAGCACGGTTATTGTAATCATCATCGTCATCAACTGGCTTCAACCCCGCTTGACTCGTCTCTCGCTTTTAAACCCTCCGCATCCGCGAGTTCCCTCGCATCCCGCCGCCCCCAGAGTCATTACTCGATGTCCGCTGGTAGCCCCGACCTAGCATCCGAAACAACTGGCCGTTAATCAGAAATCATCGTCCGTCGGCCAGAGAAAAAGAGGTTAAATCTCGAAAATCAAGTAAATTCGATCAATGTTCTTATCCTCATTCTAAAAGAACAACGTTAATCTTTTTTATTTATTTATTCTTCAATTTTTAGTTCATTTATTTATTTTGTTGATTTAGTGTATTCTTAGCTCTTTTGATTAACTTCAAAGCTTCAGAAATTAATCGAGGAGCTTTCTAATAAATGTACCATAGATTTATGATAAGTTATAGTGGACTGCAAAACTTTTTTTTTTTCAAAAGCAATATTTTGTTGTCGTGTTGTTTATTTATCATGTTGTTTACTTTCACTTACCATATCTTTACACTTAATATTAGTTAAATGTAACATGAGATACCTAAAATTCTTTTAAAGAATTTTAGCTTTATACTCGTTTTTTGAAGCATGATCTTTCATACACAACTGCTGAGTGTATTTTCTAGTTAGATAATTAGAGTTTGTTTGTCCAAAAAACAACCAATTAGTACAATATCAATTAAGTAAATCTTTCTGTTAGAAAGCTCTTCAAAGATACATAACGAGTCGAAAAATTGACCAGAAATGTTAAATATCTTCTTTGCCGTTTGCACTTCACGTTAATTCGCTGTTGGGAAAACCGCAGTTGTTAAACTGCTTCGAAAGATATAGATGAAGCTCCAATGTAGAAATTAAATCGTGCCAGCCGCGAGCAAAATTACACGTATCACTGAGGGAACTGAGCTTTTAATAAATGATTGCCAAACGGTTTGATCGACCGGAAGTTTTTTAAATAATCCGTTTTTACGTCGATTAAGTCGCAGATTTCAAGGACGCTTGCACACGTCTACCGGTGAGGATTATCTACAGGCCAGCAGGTAAACTCATCCGGTTCTACAAATGCATTTTGCACCCCACGCATCGTACGATGCATTTATGAATTAACGAGCTGGACTGCTCGCGCTCGAGCTGCACGTTCGTCGATAGCATCATCTATGTTTCATTCGATTTCATCATGAAGTGCAGGGTCAGCGATGCTCCATCCACCTCCTGACACCGGACACGCTATCCCCCGAAATCAATTAGCGAAAGGGACATGTCCCTCGCCGAAATCCTTCGATCCCTTTGTCTAGTTTTTGGTGTGTGTGTATTTTTTTCTTTTTTTCTTTTTTTTTTTTTTTTTTTTTTT